ACACATGGGGGGCCGGGTGAGTAGCTGTGACGCCAGCTACCAAAGCAGGAGCCCAGGCCCCCCGCCCCGGGGCTGCCTGGGGGCAAGGGGCAGCGCGGGGGTCTCTGCTGGGCGGGGGGGGGGTCCGTACTCACAATCGCTCCGTGTTGCGGGGGATGTTTTTGGGGACGCCCCGGAGCCCGGTGCCGTGACAGTCCACGGTGGTGCCGCTGCAGGTGCAGAGCGCGGGGCAGCCGGTGGCCCGCACCCCGCACGCAGCCGCCCAGGCCAGCAGCCAGACGCCGGCTCGCAGCCACCTGCCCTGCGGGGCCATGCCGGGGACCGGGAACCGGGACCGGGCTCGGAGCTGCGCCGCCGCCGAGCGCCCTCCCCAGCCAGCAGCCGGCTGCGTCTGAGCGCAGAGCTCCGCGCCCCCCACTCCCCATCCATCAATCGCAGACACAACCCCCAGCCCCGGCCGGCTCCTCCCCCAGCGCCGGCCCCTCGCCGCGGGGCGCAGCGCCCCGGCGCGCACACAAAGGAACGGCCCCCTCCGCCGGATCGGGCCCGGCCTGGGGCACATGCGGCTGAGGGGCTGCAGGAGGGGAGGGGGCACCCCCGAGGCTCTAGTCGGAGCAGGGGGTTCAGCCCCCCCGCCCCACCACATGGGGGGTCATGGTGTGTGCAGAGCCTGGCCCTGCTGGGGCCAGGGTGCCGGGTGCCAAAGGTCATGGCCTGGCCTGGGAACAGCATCAGCTCTGCCAGGAGCCACCTGGCAAAGCGCCTGGCGTGGCCCCGCAGCTGCTGAGCAGAGCGGCTCCGGGGGGCTCCGGGAGGGCTGGGCTGTGTCCCTCTGGTGGCTCCGGCGTCCGCCCGGCCCAGCCCACGGCTCCGGGTCCACGAAGTCAAGTTCCTCCGCGGGAAGAGCAAAGGGAGCTCAAGTCACTTCAGAAGCAGTTGGACTTGGACGGGCTCCAGCGGGGAGACGAGTCCAGCCTGCTTGGGACAAAGGGACAGAGCTGCCACCCTGGACTCCGGCCCCTGAACTAGCCGGCTCAAGTCCTTTTCTAGCCCCTATCAGCTCGGTATCTGAGCACTGCCCAACGCCCAACCATTAATGGATCTAGCCCCATGGCCCCGGCTGTGATCCTCACCGTACAGATGGCACCAAGGCGCACACAGGTTCAGAGGCTCATAAGAGCGGCCAGGCTGGGTCAGACCAAAGGTCCATCGAGCTCCGTATCCCATCTCTGACTGTGGCCAATGCCAGGTGCCCCAGAGGGAATGAACAGAACAGGAAATCATCCAGTGATCCATCCCCTGTCGCCCATTCCCAGCTTCTGGCAAACAGAGGCTAGGGACACCATCCCTGTCCATCCTGGCTAATAGCCATTGATGGACCTAACCTCCCTGAACTAATCTAGTTCTTTTTTTGAACGCTGTTATAGTCTCGGCCTTCACAACATCCTCTGGCAAGGAGTTCCACAGGTTGACTGTGCCTTGTGTGAAAAAATACTTCCTTTTGTTTGTTTTAACCCTGCTGCCTATTAATTTCATTGGATGACCCTGGTTCCTGTGTTATGTGAAGGGGTAAATAACACTTCCCTATTCACTTTCTCCACACCAGTCATGATTTTATAGCCCTCTATCAAATCCCCCCACCCCTCCTTAGGTGTCTCTTTTCCCAGCTGACCTGTACTAGTCTTTTTAATCTCTCCTTGTACAGAAGCTGTTCCATCCCCCTCATCATCTTTGTTGCCCTTCTGTGTGTCTTTCCCAATTCTAATAGATCTTTTTTGAGATGGGGTGAGCAGAGCTGCAGGCCGCGTTCACGGCATGGGTGTACCAGGGATTCCTACACTGGCATTAGGATATTCACTAATGATCTAGCCCTTTCTGCCCGTTCCGTTAGCTCTGTTCACTCCCCCGAAGCTACACAGGAAGTCTGTGGTGGAGCAGGGAACGAATCCGGGTCTCTGGTTAGTGTCTGGATGTAGAAATTAGTCCGGGGGGGGGGGGGATGCAGCTCCCAGAGGGGGATCACATTAAGTCCATGCTGGAACCCCAGATCTGACCACCCCAACTTTGGGGAGACTCAGGGCTGAATCTCAGCTCTGCAGCTGGCCTCAATAAACTGAACCAAAAGCCTGTCTCCTCCAATCAGGGAACAGAAACAGTGTCACATGCCTGGTGCCCGGGGACTGAGTTTCGAATCTATGCAGCGGCACCATCCACACACACAGTATTTCCTGATGCGGTTACCTGGGGAATGATTTCAACAAACGAAAAACTCTCAGTTCACAAGAAAGGAGGCAAAAACCACCCAATGCCAGTGTGGCCAGTGCCAGTAATCCTGAGTCATAAGAACGGCCAGACTGGGTCAGGCCAAAGGTCCATCCAGCCCAGTGTCCTGTCTTCTGACAGCGGCCAATGCCAGGTGCCCCAGAGGGAATGAACAGAACAGGGAATCATCAAGTGATCCATCCCCTGTCGCCCATTCCCAGCCTCTGGCAAACAGAGACTAGGGACGCCATCCCTGTCCATCCTGGTTAATAGCCATTGATGGACCAAGCCTCCATGAACTAATCTAGTTCTTTTTTGAAACCTGTTATAGTCTCGGCCTTCACAACATCCTCTGGCAAGGAGTTCCCCAGCTTGACTGGGTGTTGTGTGAAGAAATACTTCCTTTTGTTTGTTTTAACCCTGCTGCCTATTAATTTCATTTGGTGACCCCTAGTTCTTGTGTTATGAGAAGGAGTAAATAACACTTCCCTGTTCACTTTCTCCACACCAGTCATGATTTTATAGACCTCGATCATATCCCCCCTTAGTCGTCTCTTTTCCAAGCTGAATAGGCCCAGCCTTGTTAATTTCTCCTCATACAGAAGCCGCGCCAGACCTCTCATCATTTTTGTTGCCCATTTCTGAACCTTTTCCAATTCCAATCTATCCTTTCTGAGATGGGACAACCACATCTGCACGCAGCATTTGAGGTGTGGGTGTACCATGGATTTATATAGAGGCAATCTGATATTCTCTGTCTTCTCATCTCTCCCTTTCTTAATGGTTCCCAACATTCTGTTCGCTTTTTTGACTGCTGCCGACCCTCCCAAAAGACTGGCTTCAAACTCATGCGATCTTACACAGTAAGCAATGGGGTTCTTTCTGTTCACCTGCTGCTCTTACAGCCTCGGGGATGTCACTTCCAAGCTTTTCTCCTCCAGCAGAAGGGCTGGAAACGTCCATTATTTCAGTGAAAGCTGAGAGTCTCTCAGAACCCCAGGACTCCCGAAGCTGGGGCTGTAAGAAAAACACCCAACATTGTGAGGTTCAGGATAAAATCAGGAGTGTTTGCTGACAGAACGAGAGCAGCTGCCGTGAATGATCCGCTCCATTCTAAGCGTATCGCCCCAGAAAACAGATGCCGCTGAAGAGACAAGGCTGGGGCCCCATTAGTCTCCATGCAAGCGCCTGGGGCCAGATGTGGATTCGGAGCAGGGCTCTGACAGTGTAGAGGGAGAGTTACAGTGACAGAGGGGCTAGGGTGACCAGATGTCCTGATTTTATAGGGACAGTCCCAATGTTTGGGTCTTTTTCCTATATAGGCTCCTATTACCCCCCCCACCCTCTGTCCTGATTTTTCACATTTGGTGTCTGGTCACCCTAGGAGGGGCGGTACATTAACCCTCCCCCTGTACCATCCCTTTCCTCGCTCCCCTGCGGGGGGGCTTCCTTCCCCTCTGGTTTCTTACCTAGGTCAGGGCGCTGCCTCGCGGGACTCTGCAGTCAGTGGTTATTTCCTGGCTGCTGCATAATGCTAACCCCCAGGACCGGCTCTTCCCAGCAGTCTGGGCAGCACCTAGTGTGTGTCAGAGGCACCATGCCAACCTCCCCCCCCAAATCTCCTTCCCTCCAGACCCCATGAGAGCTCGGCCTTTTACCAACACACAGTCCCTGCCCCAAGATGGGCCTGATCCTGGTCCCATTGGAGTCGTGCCATTAACTCCAGGGGCGCAGGATGGAGCCCTGAAAGGGGCTCCTCTTTCTTCCTGCATCTCTTCCCTCCCGCCCCCCCTGCTGTTCCTTTGCCCCTGCTCCTTGGGCTGGGGGGTGGCAAAGCGGATACTCCGCAGAGGCTGAGCGGCGGGTGCTCCCCACGTAGCTCCCCAAGCCAGCGCTCCTCCAGACACACATCTGCGCCAGCTCCGGGGAGGGCAGCCGGGACACACGCTTGGCCCACCACAGCATCCTCCCCCCAGGCCTCGGTTACAGGCTCCTCATCCGTCTGTCTGTGACATCTCCTTCCTCTGGCCCCAGCGCTGGAAGGGAGCCGAGGCCCAGACGCATGAAAGGGGGGTTTCTTGTTGCTACTCAGAAGCCATGACCTTAGGGAAGCAGCGCTTGTTCCCAGCCTCTGGGAGCTGCTCCGGCGCTGGCAGGGCCCCAGGCTGAGCTGGCCCCAGGGAGGAGGAAAGCCGAGCGGTCGCTCAAGGAAGTGTCCCAGCTGGCACAGAAGGGGACCTCAAGGAGGGCCGGGTGCTGTGGGAGCCCCATGGGCTCTACCGTCTCTCGCTGCTGAATGTATCCTCCACGCCCCAGAGCCCCTGGCCTAGGGCCATCCTGCCTGGGCCAGCCCTTGCTCAGACAGAGGGGTCCTGGCCCAGCAGGTGAGAGAGGGAAGCCAGCTCCCCCAGCCATTCGGGGTTCCCTGTCCAGGTGAACCTGGCAGCAGGACCAGGGTGGGGGCAGAGCCATTGCCAGAGTCACTCAGCCAGGGAGCGCCCTCCCGATGTGTGGGTGAATGGGCCCCCGGCCAGTCTGTCCCTGCAGCAACAGAGCGAGACCTGGCACATGGGTCCAGACGCTGCCATGCCAGGAGCTCAGGAAAGCACCGGGGCTGCAGCAACCGCCCAGGGAGCCGCTCAGCAGGGCAGGAGCGGCTGGGGAAGAAGGGGTCAGGCGCTGGGCTGGGCCTCGTGTTCCCAGCTCTGTGACAGACTCCTGGGTGTCCTTGGGTGAGTCACTTAATCTCTGGGCCTCAGCTCCCCGCTGGAACCTGGGCTCACCGACGCTGGGAGGGTAAATGCACGGTTTGCGCAGGCGCCCAGAGGCTCCGGTGATGGCACCCCTGTAAGAACCGACTTACGTAGGGCTGGCATCCATTGGCAGCTGCTACCTCGCCCTCTGGAGGGCAGGTGTGCTGAGGGGGCTGAAGGAGAGACTCCATAGCTAGGAGGGGTAGAAGGCTGTTATCCTATGTGGACAGACACTACACAAGTAGGAGTGTGTTGCTACAGCTGGTTATTTTGAGAAGAGCGAACACAGGAAGGGCCTGGTCTGGGAGCTGGGAACTGTAGTAGAAAGCGAGCCTGAGACATAAGCCCTCGTCTCAGAGGCCTGGTGTGAGGCCTGAACTAAAGTAGTGGTCATGCTTTGCTGA